CTAGGTTGAGGGCCCACTACAGCAGCTTGCTTCTGGGGCTCTCTCGCGTCGCCCTTGCGTTGCACTGATGCTCGGGCCTGGCGCACACCTCCAATCTGTAGTCCTAAATCTCAGCCCATCTTTTATTATCAGTCCATCCTGGCCAATGGCCCCTGTTCCGCCGATATCTTTTTGACCTTTTTTTCCTCTTTTATCCAATCAATATCTTTTGATACAAGGGTGTAAGATTTTTTCCTTTTTTTAATAAATATTATGAAAATGAAAAGAGTCTTAGTGGGAGTTTTTTGTTAAATAAGTGAGGTATGGTAGTTGGGTTTAAGGTTGATGGATTTAGTAGAATTGTATTTAATATTTTATCGATCATTATACATTAATATTTTCAAGCCAAAAGCAAGTTGTATGGATGTGGGAACTCAACTGGTAGAACGCAATAATTGTGGTAGTGGATCACAACATTAATGAAATACCAAACAATTTCGAATTAGTTCACCACTCGCAATTTGCAACTCGTGTGGCAACACAGCAAAGGCCGCCATTCTTGCCCATTAGCTCCAATCCTCGTCGTCTTCCACCTCAAAATTCTCTGTGTTACACTTTAAGATGTCTATTTCATCCAAATCCATCTTCTTCTTCTTCTTCTTCCACTTCTGCATCATCTACCCCAAATCGTCCTCTGGTCTCCAGTTTCCGTGTAGTCCACCGCACCACAATTCTTATCCCTTCTGCAACGCATCCCTCTCCACCACAGCCAGAGCTCAATCCATTGTCTCATTGCTCACTCTCCAAGAAAAGATCCTACAGCTCGCAAATAACGCCTCCAGCATTCCCCGCCTCGGTATTCCTTCCTACCAGTGGTGGTCGGAGGCCCTCCATGGCATAGCCACCAACGGCCCCGGCGTCTCTTTCACCGGCCCCGTAACTTCCGCCACCAGCTTCCCACAAGTCCTCGTCACCGCCGCTTCCTTCAATCGGACTCTCTGGTTCTTGATTGGGTCCGCAATCGCAGTCGAGGCTAGAGCAATGTTCAATCTGGGGCAATCTGGGCTGACGTTTTGGGCGCCTAGCATCAACATTTTTAGGGATCCCAGATGGGGAAGGGGCCAGGAGACTCCCGGTGAAGACCCCATGGTCGCTTCGGCTTATTCAATTGAGTTCGTGAGAGGTCTTCAGAGCGGGAATTGGGGGAGAGGCGATGAGATTGGGATGGAAAGTTTAATGGTTTCCGCTTGTTGCAAGCATTTTACTGCCTACGACTTGGAGAAATGGAGGAATTTCAGTAGGTATACCTTCGATTCTGTGGTAAGATTTGCTTTCTTTCCCGCAACGTATCACCCAGTTCTAGTTCTAGCTCTAGCTTACTTCATTCAAGTAATTTGGAATTGCCCATTATGTTACCAAGTCTCAACTGGTTTAATCTTATCATCTGGGATTCACATTGTGAGGACAATAGAATCAACAGTGTACATGATTTTGCCCATTTGAACTTTGACTCGGTCAGTTTAGAGCTTTAATTGATCATCATTTTATTAGGTAACAGAACAAGACCTCGGGGATACATATCAGCCACCATTCCGAAGTTGTATTCAACAAGGAAAGGCTAGCTGCTTGATGTGTTCTTACAATGCCATAAATGGGGTGCCTGCTTGTGCAAAGCCCGATCTCCTGCAGAAAGCCCGAAATGATTGGGGCTTCAACGGGTAAACACTTCCCCTTTAGTTGTTCATCAGGTAGAATTTGAAAATCAGTACTGCCCATCTAAATGAGTTAATGGGCTATTCTAGGTTTAAGGCTTGGATTTTTATTCTTGGTTAAATTACACATATAGTTCCTGAAGTATCAGAGTTTTGGGTTCGTAAATCTTTTAAAAAATGTTTAATAAGTTAGGTAAGATTGAAAGTTTAGGGCCGTTTAGATACAAAATTGAAAGTTTGTATTTCTTGCTGGAACACCCAGATTTTCTTCAGAATGAGGTGGAGCTTTTAAATTTTTTGTACTTTTTAAACTTAAAAGTAGCTACAATTTTAGATACAAAGGGCCGTTTAGACACCTTTTAAATTTCTTGTACTTTTTAAACTTACAAGTTCAAGGACTTAAGTTGTTATTTAACCTTTTATTCCTTATTTCAATCAAATACAGGTACATCACCTCGGACTGTGATGCAGTAGCTACAATTTATGAATATCAGAAGTACACCCACACCCCTGAGGATTCTGTAGCAGATGTTCTCGAAGCAGGTATTGCTATGCCTTCTATGGATTAGCTACCTCTAGTGTCATTTAGTGTGGGGGTTCTCGACTCGAAGAAGGTGATGATAAGAAATTGAATTGCTTGTAGGAATGGATATTAATTGTGGTTCATTCATGCTTCGGACTACTAAATCCGCCATTGATCAAGGGAAGGTGAAAGAAGAAGAGTTAGATAGAGCTCTCCTCAATCTTTTCTCGGTTCAAATCCGTCTTGGACTCTTCGACGGGCATCCCAGAGAGGGGAAGTATGGAGAGCTGGGAGCACAAAGTGTTTGCACTTCGCAACACAAAACTCTGGCTCTCGAAGCTGCAAGGCAAGGAATTGTGCTCTTAAAGAATGAAAATAGATTTCTACCGTTGAATAAGCAGGCTGTTTCTTCATTATCTGTTATTGGATCTTTGGCAAACGATGCAAGCAAATTGCTTGGAGCCTATGCAGGTGGTTTTTTTTGTTTCATCAGTCTTGAATTATGGTTTAGTTCGATTCTAGTAGTCGTTAAACCGTATTCTCTGTTCCATGGAATAAGATCTTTCCTACATTACTTGACGGTCTGAAAAATTGGCCAGGTTTGGTCTTTCCGAGTTTCTAACCACATTGATGTTTGCTATCGGAAACTGAACTAGAATACACTTGCTTTGTTCTTTCTGTAATCACTCATCTTGGTCAGCTAAAGAAACCACTACATTTGTTTTGTTGATCAGGAGTTCCCTGCAGCTCAGTGAGTCTTCTTGAGGGATTTCAAGAATATGTAGAAACAATTTTCTTCTCGTCTGGTTGCCTTAATGTGATGTGCGCATCAGATAGTGGATTCGACGAAGCAGTTCTTATTGCCAAGAAAGCTGATTTTGTTATTGTAGTGGCTGGGCTCGATTTATCTCAAGAAACTGAAGATCTAGACCGAGTTAGTCTTTTACTACCTGGTAAACAAATGGACCTTGTATCTTCCATGGCATCAGTAAGTAAGAAACCGATCGTTCTCGTGCTCGTCGGTGGTGGACCGCTTGATATATCCTTTGTAAAAAAGGACCCAAGAGTTGCAAGTATTCTTTGGATCGGGTACCCAGGCGAAGGTGGTGGAAAAGCTTTAGCTGAAGTCATCTTTGGAGACTTCAACCCAGGTTTGTATCTTCACAAGATACTACTTTACTACTGAACATGATATACAGTAGTACACAATCACATATTTCTAAAAACAGCTCCAATCACAATTAGTGTATCATATTCTTCTCAACAAAATCTCAGGTGGACGGTTGCCCGTGACGTGGTATCCAGAATCATTCACCAATGTTCCTATGAACGATATGCACATGAGATCAAACCCGTCACGCGGTTACCCTGGAAGAACATACCGATTTTACACAGGAGACCGGGTCTACGGATTCAGTCAAGGCTTGAGCTACACAAGTTTCAAGTACAGTTTGTTATCAGCACCACAGAAGGTGAGTCTTTTGGGAAACTTGGAGGCAGTTTCTAGCAGAAGAATCATGATACCTCAAGTAGGAAATGGAGTGGAAGTGAATTATATGGAAGTCGAGGATGTAGAATCCTGTGATTTGCTCAGATTCTACGTTAAGTTATCAGTGGCCAACACTGGTGAGTATGATGGGAGCCACGTGGTGATGCTGTTCTCTGAGTTTCCAAAAGTCTTGAGAGGCAGTCCTCAGCGACAGCTGATTGGCTTTGATCGGCTGCATGTAAAGAGACAGCAATCAGCTGAAAGCAGCATCTTGGTGGATCCTTGTAACCATTTAAGTATGGCAGATGAATATGGAAAAAGGGTGATACCTTTAGGAGATCATATAATAAGCTTGGGAGATTTGGAGCATGTTATTTCAATTCAGGTCTTGTAAGTGTGTATAAATGTGAAATTAAACCTGGATTGCCACTGTTATAAGTATATGCTACCTCAATTAAAGTATATGGCCTGTTATTTTAATTCAACTTTATATTATAGTTCACATGTTGGGCTTTGTAGATTCATATTAATTTTTCCCACTCCCTATCTTGGCATTTTCAATAAATTAGCCATGGTAGGGACTTGATGTGAAATCTAATATAAAAATTGTAGGATGAAAATTGAAAACTTTTTATCTATATCGTTTAGTCCTTCATTCAATTTAGTCTCTAGTATTTTAAAATTTTGTATTTAGTTTCTCCAGTATTATATAAGCAACTAATTTTGACATTACAAAATATTAAAATATAAAAAATTAAATTAAAACTTTTTAAACCAAAAAAAAATACAAAAACATTTACTTGGGAACTGGGCAAAAATGGGTAGCTGTCATCAGGACTTCAATCGGTGAGCCACGTTGGCCAAAACCAGAAAAAACTTTCTGGTAGAAACACAGCCAAATGCCGATCATATCACCTTCACTTACGCTTCAATAAATAAAAACAAAGCTGAAGCAAAATCTGCTGTGGGTTTTGATCTGCAGGCAACAAAAGCAATGAGCCATCCCAAGTACGCTCATCCCTACTATCAGGGTCCGCCGCCTCCCGTGGTGGCGCCGCCACAATATGCAGTTGCTCGGCCGCGGAGACCGGGTTGCCTGGAGGCATGGTAATTTAATTTCAATCGTGCAACCAAAATTTTTCTGGGTTTATAATATAGAAACTTAATATTTCCTCTGCTTGTCTTGCTGGGGAGTGATGGCTGCTGCAGTCTTGCTGCGCTATGCTGCTGCTGTCTTGTTGACCAGTGCTGCTGCGACCCCTTTTGTCTCTTCGCCTTCTAGCTTAGCCCTACCCCTACATCTGCTTTCTTACAAACTTCATCATTATGTAAGCAAAACAGTACTTAGATGCTGAGAATTATTCGAAAAGAGGTTCTTTTCTCAACGTTCATATGAATTTTTACCACCATCTGCTCATGTTGGTGAAGGGAAATCCTGGCAATTTTATTTATACCACCTTCATCTTAATTGATTTCTTAAACATTGTTTCATGTTTGTGTCATATCTGGCGTGGGCCTTATCTACAGTGCAATTTAGGCCCAATACAAATCAACATCCAAACGCAATTCAAGAACACAAATTCAGGATGAGAATCTAAAAACACACAATTCAACCATGGAAGACACTCGAAATCAAATAACTATTCAGTATAATCTAAGTTTAACGTACCCGAGAGGGAAATGGGCTTATGAGAAAGGGATAATCACCAATGAAACTCCCAAGCCCAATTGACAAAATTTTCCACTTCTTGCTCGCCCCTGTTGTCATGGCTCTATAAACTTGCATCTATTTTAGGAGAAATTGAACTTCCCACTTTCATATCCATTTTAAACTATTACAATTCTACTTTTCATCTCTAGTTTACTACAAATATAAACCCAGATCCCAAAATTCAAGTAAAAAGGAATTGTTTACCATAGAGTTGAAGGCTGAAAACTCTAGAGGTAGGTCAACCAGGAAAGTGCCACTACTTTAGAAGGTTATGTGAAGTCATGACGAACTCATCAAGGTTCAACAATTACCAGACGTAACAATTTAGAAGGTTAACAATCAAATAGATAAAATAAAAATAGCTTTATTAGTTCAAGAATGTAAATTGTATTTTCTTTTTATTTTACTTCCAGAAGACATAGTAGTTGTTGTAAGATTTTTACACAACTGATGACAGAGCAAAACGTTCTTACAATTCTGTCATGGTCACAGATGACAAACTCCAAATCCAACCAGTCGTCAGGATGTTAATTCCAACAAGGACTCCAATGAAAAACAGGAGGGGACTTCCGTGCTGAAAGCACAAACGCTGGCCACAAGCCAAAAACCAGGCGATGAAGAAAACAAGAAAGCTTCTTGTTCTCTTAGTGATCCATACGATCCCGTACGGATCCTTCAAAGAATGGAATATGATACCAACTTTGGATTTTCCCCCTCTTCTACACTGACCCACCAGCCGTAGCTTCCATTTAACTCCTCTTCGGCCTCCTCAAGTCAAAAAATTGGGAGATCCCCAAAAAGAAGGAGAAAAAGAACGTACCTGAAGTCCTTCGTCTTCCTTTCTTCATGTTTTTTTAAGTTTCTTTCTATACGCAGCTTGCTACACTAACCAGGAAACATGGCCCATGGTGGTGGTAATCGCCGTGATACAGCGTTTGACATTGGTAAAACTACGTTTAATGGTGGGCTTGAGTTTTCTGGCCTTACTTATACTGTCATCAAAGACAAGGAACATGAAGGGAAGCTGGTGAAGCAAGAAGTAGACTTGTTGCACAATATTTCGGGGTATTCACCAAAAGGAAGTATCACCGCAGTATTAGGTCCCAGTGGGGCTGGAAAATCTACCTTCTTGGATGGTCTTGCGGGAAGAATTGCAAGCGGAAGCCTGAAGGGTAGAGTTTCTTTGGATGGCATGGAAATGAGCCCAAGCTTGATTAAAAGAACTTCTGCATATATAATGCAAGATGACAGGCTCTTCCCGAAGCTCACTGTTTACGAGACTCTGATGTTCGCAGCAGACTTCCGGCTGGGTTCAATTCCAAAAAACGATAAAATGGAACGGGTGGAGAAATTGATTGAGCAGCTTGGTTTATCAGTAAGCAGATCATTAGCTTTTTCCCTTTTCTGTACTTACATATTTCAATATCTAACCAATGAGATCACTGGTTGCTGATTGCAGTCTGCTCGAAACACCTATATTGGAGATGAAGGAACAAGAGGGGTGTCCGGTGGCGAACGAAGACGAGTTTCAATTGGGGTGGACATCATCCATGGACCATCACTGCTTTTCCTTGATGAGCCAACTTCAGGACTAGACTCCACCAGTGCTTACAGTGTCATTGAAAAGGTGCATAATATAGCTCGCACTGACAGCACTGTGATCCTTACAATCCACCAGCCATCATCTCGAATCCTATCATTCTTTGACCATCTCATCATCCTTGCTCGAGGGCAGCTCATGTTTCAAGGATCACCAAAGGATATCAAACACCATATCAGTCTAATGGGACGAAAAGTACCTCGAGGAGAAAATCCAATTGAATATCTTATGGATGTTATTCAAGAATATGATCGGTCTGAATTTGGAGTGCAGGCACTAGCTGAGTTCGCTAGAACAGGAACGAAGCCCCCACACTTGTCTGATGAAGAGATTTCGTTATCTACTATACATGCCTCGCCGGCTTCATCTTATCAGTCTGGTGTACAAAAAACTAGCAATATTGTGACTGGAAAACGGCTCCACTTGCAAACCAGTTCTTGTGCTTTAAATGATCATGATCATAGTTTGAGAAGCACTTATAATACATCAAGGTCATGGAGTGCGAGTAATAGTGTGGTTATGCAGGCTCTGAGGCTGCCAAAAAGACAACAAGATGGAGCAAAGCTGCGTAATCAAATGAGGTACATCAACTCAATTCAAAGCAATTCAATTGCTTAGAAGTTGCATTTCATTAACATTACTATTATCATCCATTCATCAGTATCAAAGCCTACTATTCAGAACCATAATCTCCAGATTTTCTGATTTGCAGTTCTTCGCCTGCCTCTTATGCATACTCATTTGATGTCCTGCATGGCACACCAACACCTTATAGCAGTGATTACACAGTGAATGAAAATGACTACCTGACTTCAAATGTCGGTTCAAAATCTGTTCCCATTCACAACCTGGGGAAAAAAAATTCAAACTCATTTTTCTCTGAGACCTGGATTCTTATGCGTCGAAATTTCAAGAACATCTCAAGAACCCCTGAGCTGTTCCTGTCAAGGTTGATGGTCCTCACAGTTATGGGGTTTATGATGGCTACAATGTTCATGAATCCTAAAGAGAATATTCAAGGAATCACAAACCGTCTCAGCTTCTTCATCTTTACCGTCTGTCTCTTCTTTTTCTCTTCCAATGATGCTGTCCCAGCATTCATTCAAGAACGTTTCATTTTCATCCGTGAAACTTCCCACAATGCCTATAGAGCATCATCTTACACCATCGCTGGTCTTATTACTCACCTGCCTTTTCTTGGCCTGCAAGCCGCGGTCTATGCTGGCATAGTTTGGTTTGCTTTGAAACTCCGAGGATCTTTCATATATTTCCTGATAGTCCTCTACATGTCCCTTCTTTCAACAAACTCATTTGTTGTATTCATTAGCTCAGTGGTACCGAACTATATCTTGGGTTACGCTGCTGTGATTGCATTCACTGCCCTCTTTTTCTTGTTTTGTGGATATTTCTTAAACAGCCACGACATTCCCCCTTACTGGAAGTGGATGAACAAGATTTCAACGATGACATATCCATATGAAGGGCTTTTGATGAACGAGTATCAGACTTCTAATCCTTTTGGGAAGCAAGCGAATGGAACTGATATTACTGGTATTAACATATTGGAAAGTCTTCATATCAAAACCGATTCAGACAAAAAGTGGGAAAATGTGATTGTGATGCTTGGTTGGGCCGTGCTTTATAGAATTTTGTTCTACCTAATTCTTCGTTTTGCATCCAAGAACCAGAGGACGTGAATAATCGAGGGAGTGGTCAAGAAATAGTTCCTACATTAGAGTACTGATTTAATTGAGAATGAAATTTCATGCTTTCATTTGCCCTCGTTTTTCTTGTATTGGAAAATCAAGTTCTACTTACATCAGTGAAACTACAGTCTAAAATGACTTTCAATTTCCTGGGACAAACCAAAGTTAAAATAACAGCTACCAAGTTCTCGAGTTTGGACCGAAAACAAATTGAGGAGCTACAATAAACTGCCGCCCCATACAATGAGGGTTGATATTCAAAATTTCAAATGGATGCAGGATACCTTTCGTATCCATATTCCAGTGCTAAATACACTCTCCGAATAATTTTTCCGGGAACCTCACCATACTCCCTGAGCCCCGTTGTTCATTCTTCCTCTCTTTCATCCTGGAATTCGGTTTTCCGTTTGCAACTTAATTTTGGATGAATTAAATGCACTGCTATTGACAAATTATATCCTATTATACAAACAAGAAAATCGATAGAAAATAAGACACCAAGAGGCAAATAAATCAATTTCTTCATTGGAGATTATCATTATCCAATATTTAAAGGACCTGAATTTTGGTATTTTGCCTAGGAATCGCTGCTTTGGCCAACTCATGCTTAGGGTTTAAATTTTAATAGCCTATCGGTAAGAATCTACATCATCTTGGAGTCTTCGCCCGTATCGAAGCTGCTCATTTATGATTCCTATGAATGTGAAGCATTCGGCAAAAGGTTATACCAAAGAAACTGATATTACATCTTGCTACATTTGCACATTTCAGGGAATCAAATATGTAGAGAGCCCAATAATAATATTAAGGAGCTAAGCAAAATGCAATTAAAAAGGCTAACAAGCAATTATCTGATCAATCAATTTGGACTTCTGACAATCTTAAAGAAACTTGAGATGATATGGTGGACGGACTGATGAAGATTGGAGGTAACTTAAGGACAAGATGACCCAAATAACTTGAGGTATTAAGCTATTAAACAACTTGATAACTTTATTCATCTTTCAACGACTTTCACCAAGACCTGTGCCATTTAACAACCTGCTACTGATTCCATTAGTTGAGCCAAAGAATAAAAAATTGAAAATCCTGATGATCCAGGAGAAGTTGTGTTAAGTTCTAATGTACACTGTTATTTTGATCAATGGTCTAGCAACAGCCTCACCGAATACAGTCATATTGTTCCATTGACATCAAATATACCTTTCCCTCTTATTATAACAGCACATATTCTAAGTTATTGCTATTAGGATAGAATTAGAAACATTATTAGGATTAAAGCGAGCATAGGTCACCGGTAATTGGCATATATCTCAAACCAAAAGGTTGCGAGTTCGATCTTCACCCCACATGTTGTACTAAAAAAAAGAAACATTATTAGGGTATTGAGGTATATTAGTAATTTTTGTTTGAGAAATTTGTTATAAATAGGGTGAGAAAGGATGAAGCTAGACAACTGTTTAGTGTGGTTTAAGCTTGAGTAAGAATACACAAGAGAGGGGAGGTTCCAAATATCTCGAATTACTACAAGATTATTGTAGCCCTTCTATCCTTTTATCTTTCAATCTATTTCTAGTTGTTTGGGCCCTATTAACTTAAATCAGAATTCAAGGAGATCGTTATTAAAATACTAGACAGATATGGCTTTACTATCAATATGAACTCATAAACTGGGTTACAAGATCCTCATATTTCGTTGGCACTAATGGAAACAAGACAAATATTACAAGGGAACTGCCTGTTTTTATACAAGGTGGAGTAAACATTAAGTGGTAAAAAGAGATGGATTAGCAGATGCAGTACTGACTTGGACTTCAAGCATTTCAAGCCGCCGCTCCAGAGTATCAAGCTTCTCGTTCAAAGATGCCAACTTGCTCTTTGTTGTTGCCTCTGATGGAACCAAGTAAATGAGTTAGAAACCCAGATATTCCTCTTCTTAGCAACTGGTTAACTAAAATACAGCAATAGCGACTTCAAAATTAGAAAGTACATCGTCTACATGTTTTCACTGGAAAACGATTGCCGGAGGATGAGAAATTCAAAGTGCGTGCTGGTGCTCGGTTAATCAATTTCCGGAGGAGAAAACAATCATACAAATCCAGATCAAAGAAAACAAAGAAAGGGTTGCTTCATTTAAACAATAAAAAAAGGCCCATGGGATTCAATTCTCGATCTTAAAAATAAAGGTATTAAGTTTCAAAATTAGACTACCAATTAAATTAAATATCGATTACAAAAGGTAACTAATTAAAACAAGTTAAACAAAATATCAAGTCATACAAGGTAAATTGTAAGAATATGGACGGAGTTCAAATATCAAATAAAGAGATCTAACAATCGATGACAAAGAGGTGGAAAATAAAATAAAGGAACAGAGAGAGGAAAAGGAAAGATTACCAAAATGAACGAGGAAATCAAAGAGACGACGGACATTGATGGAAATATGAGATATGAACTCGCGATTCTCCCAATCGGCTTGAACCGCTATCCCTACGTTCACTGCGTTAGTAATTCCTCCAGCTCTAGCCATCGCCCTGTGTGTGTGTGTATCTCCAGTCACACTACAGAGATTTTATCTTAGCCACGGACACGAATATGCAGATCCGGAGAACCGAGCGGCAAACGCTTGGATTCAAGGTGAGCTCTCAATTTCAATAGCATACGCCAGCCGAGGCGAGTTGATTAAGCTGGAGGAGTGGACCSGGGCGGCTACCATTTTCACCAAACAATGATACACACAAAAATCTCTCTCCTAGTCCTAACTTCCTAACGATGAAAATTGTATAATTAATCGTTTCTTTCCAAAAAAACAAAAACAAAAACAAAAGAACGAAAAAAACAAAAAGAACTTTGTTAGTAAACAAAAAAGTCTTCGTACCCATATTTTACTGTACTAAAAAAGTTATTTTTGTCCATAGAATTTAAAATTTTATATTTTAATAAATTAAATTTTACACATTGATATTATTAATAAGAAATAGAATTATATCTTTAATAAAAAGTTATATACTAGTAACATAAGTCATGTTTTCAAGTTTTGAATCCATATTTCACATATTGTTAAATTTAAAAAATAAAAATTTGTTTATGTTAGCACTTGACCAAGAAATTATGAGCTCGAATTTTTCACTATATTTTTTGTATAAAAAAAATAAATTTTAAGAGATTACGGTATTTGTAAAGTCTAAGATATTGCTAGCATGTGTAATCTCTATTTTTCAATATGGATTTCCATCCATTGAAATTTTTCTAAATATAAATGATTCAAATCTATGCATCCGTGTTCCAATGCTCTATGAGGAATAATAGTGCCAACAATTCAAATCGAATACTAAATTTAATTATTTGAAGCACTATTTCGAAATAATTTTGTTCATTTCCATTAAGTTACCAAAGAGTTCACAAAAAAGAAATATTTAATAGACCATATCTACAAAGTTCACTTTCTCAAACTTAAATAGAACATGAATTATAATAATAATATCTGAAAGTTAAAACAACTTATTGGTGATTGCTAGGCCGGTGCCGCTCTATTATTATTTCGTAGCTTTTACGTTTATTTTAATGGATTTTTTATGTTATTCCAAAAATTATGGATTTTTGTTTTCTGAGAACTTATTTTAGTTTATTTTGGTGGATTTTTTTTTTTTTTGAGAAAATTATATTGGTGGAACTTGGAACTCGGAAATGATATTAGGAAACTGTGTTCGATATTTATGCAAACATAAGATGAAAATTAACATGAAGTATGGAGCACTGTTCTACAACAATACAATGGAACTGTTTGATAAAGTTGRAATTGTTCCAAAAAAAAAAGCACTGTTTATCATTATTAACTGGAAGTGATATTTAAAGCATGTAATCGATATTTATGCAAAAACAAGATGAAAATTAACATAACGAATGGAGCACCGTTTATAAGTTATAACCATACAATTATACAATGGAAATGTTTGATAAAGTTGAACTAAAGAGAGAGAGAGAAAAAAAAAGAAGAAGAAGGAACTGGTTGGCAAAAGCTCCTCTTTTTTTTTCTTTTTTTTTAAGATACCGATGATTATTTCGTTTTTAGATTTATATATTTTTTAAAGTTGCCGTTTAATAATTTATTTGTCCTTTCCCTACAAAAATACATTAAAAAACAATAAACAAAATATTCTTCTTGGTTTAATAAATTCACTAAGGTTGTACAAATATTTTTAAAATGTGGATTGTGAAATTAACAAAATAATTAAAGCGTCAATCATAAAAAAATGTCTAGTTAAGAAAAAATTTAAATTCTTAATGATTACAAACCAAACTATTGCGAGAGTTAGAAAGAAAGATGCGGGAACCAGGTCAGTTTATTTTCTTAGAGAACTTCAATGTTCATACATACATCTCAGACCCAATCAAAATCTGCAAAACAAGGATACAAAATAATTAAAATTTACATACTTGACATATGGCCCTTAAATTTCTTGGCTACCATTTCTTTACTGCTTCGTCCCTGTTTCAGACATATATAGACAGAATATAAGCATTTAAGAATTGAGCGATCACAGAAAAATATTTGTTCATTTCACTGCAATAAACACCTTGTGCGTGATTAATATCAAATATGCATACTTTTATCTTTCGTTAGTCAATCTGTTAATTTTTAGGCTAGCTTTTTAGAGTAATCTTCTAAAATCTAAGTCTTCATTTGCAACAAAGAACACAATTACTCAGTTTTCGTTATTGAATTAAAAAGAACTGGCCATATCTGAACGAAATTTGTGTCTGCTATGATGATCTCATACCAGACAACATCTTTATCAGCTCTTGTATTTCATGGTTTCCTTTTCAAAACCAATTGTAGGAAACTGCTTTGCGTACTCCTCAACATCATGTCGCAGCTTTTCAATCTCAGTTTGGAAGTAAGGAGTAGACTGCATTGTGGCCAGGAAATCCTTCAACTTTGATCCTGGTATAACAGAATGAGGAATCATATGTTAGAAGAGACTGCCCCAGGACTGGCCAAAATATACAAAATCCAAGTGCCCATAAACTTTAAATAGAAAGGCTTTACCAACCTCTGGTTTCCGCTTTGATCTTTAGAGCTATGTTCACTGCAGCATCAAAGAACTCGGCCACCTTGGCGAAATCATTCTCAACAAATCCTCTAGAAGTAAGAGCCGGAGTTCCTGAATGATAAATTGATATCAGCTAAAATAATAGTAACCACAATATATCAGAGCAGGGTCTTCTCAGTTTAGAGAATTTACCCATCCTGATACCACCAGGAACCATAGCTGAGACATCTCCAGGAACAGTGTTTTTGTTGGCTGCGATATGAACCGATTCCAGCACCTTTTCAACTCTTGACCCATCAATACCCTGTACGGATTTATTTTATATAATAGTCAAATCTTCAAATGTTTTTGTAGAGAACGTCTTCTTGAAGGAAGCTTTATGACCGGAATATCCCATACAGAGTTACCTTCTTTAGCGAATATCTCGTTAAGAGAAACAAACTAAGCATAAGATTATTAGTTTAATTTTAGTTTGCAAACTAAGGCATAAGATTATCAGTTTAATTTTAGTCTCTAATAGCTCACCCACTAACTATAAGCATTTTAATTCACAAAGAACTCGTAGAGCAAGGAAGCTTTTTAAAGTAGCCATATAGAAGCAAGGAGTGACTGTTACCTTATTCTTCAAATTTACTAGAACTAAATGATTCTCAGTTCCTCCAGAAACAAGTTCATAGCCCTTCTCAACGAGAGACTGCATTGTTTTTTGAATGTGGTCAACCAATATATCACAAGCAAGTCAAATAAACTCTCCTACCTATTAAKCAAATGACTCTGATTGACAATTTTTCATCTGATAGAGATAAATACCTGTGCAAATTTTGAACAATTGCTAAGAACTTGCTCTTGATACGCTTTGTATTCTGGAGTTGATGCCTACATCCATAAAAGATTATATGAGATTGGTTAATGTTTGTATTTTATTGTAACTACTTTGTTTGACTGCCCGTTGGTTCTATTGTTTTAGTCCTTTGTAAATAACCCATCCGAAATCAGTAACAAACAGAGAGTACTTCTGATCCTAATTGCCTGAATTAATTATGTACATGAAATCTATGTTCTATTAAGGAACAGAAAGATCCAAAGTGAAGGACTAAGCCAAAATTTGTAATATTGTGCAGTAAGACAGCAGTGGTGCCAGATGGATCCGGATTACGAAGGATATGTAATCAATAGGTGCCTGTCTTACTGAGTTCACCTTGTTTATATAAACTGTTGGCACGTGTGTCAATCTTATTTGTCTTCTTATTACTACCTTGTGATCATCATTTTGTTTGCATTTTGTGTTGAGGAATATTTATGTAGCAAGTGTCAAAGATTCCATGTTGTCTAGTATTGTGATCTCAGAATTGCAAATTTTATTGCACATTATTTTTCACTTAAAATTTCGTACGCCTAATATAGTTAGTGTTAAGGGCTAACAGAGCATTTATCCCTTTGAAACTCATCCTCACAGATGGTTGGAATTGTATACACACAACTTTCTCTATCTCACCGGCAAAGAGAGTCATTATTTGTGTCACATCCTCTCATTCATTTCAAGGATAATTTCCAATGAGATTTCTGATGTTATCATTAGGAATTGAATAATTTAACTGTTGGGCAACTCTTTTCACAAGTTCTCCCCCATTATTCCTCTTGTACGATCCCATGTTTATTAAACTTTCGTCCTGCCTACCTATAATCAGTTACGGCCCAGTTGAACTTAGTCTTACCTATAACATTTTAACCCTAGACGTACCCCAAAATTTCAACTTAAGTTAATTATAATTTTGATCTTTCCACTTAATGAAATCATACGCCCAACAAACTTCAACCTCAAAATAACTCTAGTGGGAGCAACAATAGTCCTACAATATTATAGGAGCAGAAGAAAGGGTAACAATTCTAGGTAAAATACGGGGGGGGGGGCGCAACATGTTTATGATCAAGCCAACCTGTTTCAGTGCAACTGCTAAACCAGCAATTGTGTGGTTGTGCGGACCACCCTGAAGACCGGGAAAGACAGCCTGATTGATTTTGTCTTCATAGTCGTATAACACCTTCAGGGAGAGACAAAAGATGATTAATTTTCAATTCAGTAAAATTTGAAAAACGAATCTATCCTAAAGTTAAAATAATTAATGATAAAAGAAAAAAAAATGGCAAGGATACATTTGTGCTCGTTATTGAAATAGAAAAAAGAAAACTACCTCCTTTCCTTGTTTATTTATCTCCTTCACCCCTTTCCGGAAGAAAATCATGGCTCCACGTGGCCCACGAAGTGACTTGTGAGTTGTGGTGGTTACAACATCAGCATAATCAAAGGGTGAAGGGATGACATCGGCTGCAACTAGTCCACTGATATGTGCCATGTCTGCCAACATTATAGCTTTTTGTTTATCACAGACCTGCGTAAAGGCATAGGAGATATAAGCCTTGGGACATCCGAGATGTGACTTGAGATCAAGACCACAATTTACCATACAGTTTAAGGGCTCACGCATATAAAAAGTCAAGGAGTTTACCTTGCGTATACGTGCATAATCATATAGACGTGCATAAGCACTAGCACCAGCAACTATTAACTTGGGTCGGAAAAGAGTAGCACTTCTCTCCAACTGCCATTTGTAGCTTAATGGTCAGTGACATCACTCCAAAAGTCTTTTAATTGCTTAATTTCCACCAAATGGAATTATATGACAAATTCAGTAAGTTAAAAAATGCACTATCATAAACTCAGACTACTATTGAACTTTGGTCAAACGTTCAAAAATATTTGATGAGTGAAGACCTGGATCAACTCTGATCCAGAAGAAATTTTAGTCATAGAAAAAGATTTAGCAGTAGAAATGCTAGGATCTTATTATTATTCTTTAGATAACTATTACTTTTTTGCTTGTAATGGATTCTTCACATAGTAATTTTGATTGGCAACAATAACATTTCAGTATTTTTCTTGAGACCATATAGAGAATCTAGGGTCATGAGAATAAATTGCATAATACCTGGTCATAGTCAATATAGCCAGTGCTCTCATCCAATCTGTATGGCATTGTCTCAAAAAACATAGACACTGCAGAAATCTTTTTGGTATCAGTCTGCACAATCACGCAAAATAAAGAAGTTTTTTCAATAGTTAAAAAAGCAGGGCCCAAAAGGTGATTTTCAGACAAGGATACTTCTTATGGTTCAATAGCCAAAGGAATATGCTACTTCAACTATGTTCAAGATTAACTCTGAGAAAGTGCATGCAAAGGTGCAAATGCTACTGATATTCATTGATAAAATTGCCACCGGTCATAAGAAATTGGTAGTATATCAATGAGAAATTAAAAAAAAAAGATATATAGGGTCATATCAATGGAGAGTTTTCTAGAAAGTTACAGGCACCTGGTAACCATGAGAGAGATGCCCTCCGTGAGGAAGATCAAGAGCCATAATTCGTTCATGTGGTTTTAACAATGCTGTATAAACTTGAAAATTTGATGGAGAGCCAGATAGAGATTGGACATTTACTGCAATAAAATGGGGATATTCAATTAATCTTTTTTGTGAATTATCATGAGAACTGGGAAGAAGACTAAGAATATTTCACCATTAACCAATGGCACTGAATTAAGATATATGACAGCTAGTGATTCTAGGCGTTCCCTATTCCCACACAATTATTATAAATTACCTCCCCATTTTTCTGGATCCAAACGAAATGCTTCCAGTGCACGTTTTTGGCACAAGGTTTCAGCCATGTCAATGTACCTACAATGTAAATATTAGAAAAATAAATAAATAAAATCTTCTGCTTTGCACCAGGAAATAATTGGAGTTGATAAATGATGAAAACAATTATTAGCTACTTTAAGCTACGGCCATCAAATAACCAGAAGAAATTATAACAAAAACAAGCATAAACTTAATGATGGCTTCCACGTACTCATTTCCACCGTAGTATCTAGCACCAGGATATCCTTCGCTATACTTGTTAGTCATAACAGATCCAACTGCTTGCATCACGGAAAGGGAAGTGAAGTTCTCCGAAGGTATGAGCTCGAGGCCCTTCAAATAAAAAATAAATTATGAGTTCCATTGAAAGATTGAACTACAAGAGAGGAATAAAAACATTTATCGTTCTAAAATATATGAAAATACCGTTGGTTCTTACATAAGTGTTGGTAATATTTTGAGCAGTAGGAACTAAGGGGAGTGGTTAACTAACATAGTTGAACCGAAATTAGTAGGAGCAAAAATATAAAATAAATTCTTCCAATGGAGTGAGGTCAGCGTTGAGCGAGGCTTCATTGAAATGGACTCGCAAAGTATCAGAATTACAGTACCATAGGTTTTAATTTCATCCCGATCAAATTGGCTTTAATAGAATGATGTTATTTGAACAATTAGGCATCAAATTCATCAGCCAATACAAAGAAACAGCACTGCAAACAAATGCACGTATAGAACACACTTCTTCCAGATAGGAACCATTCTACCTTCCATTGCCTGGCCTTCTCGAGTTCGATTATGTTCGCGATTTCCGGATCAATAACCTCGAGCGGATCATTCAATTGTTTAGGCCACTGCAAATTATGTTTTCAATGTTCATAAGCTATTTTGAGACACAGAGTGCGAATATAGACAAAATAAGAAGAGACATATTGGTTTACCGGAACGCGTGGTCTCTCCTTATCATAGGCAACTTCGTTGGGCAAAGAAGACTGAAAGAACAATAAAACCAATTACGAAACAGTTAACGATTAGAATTTAGAAGGCTGCGAATTATACAGTAATCCATCTAGTTGATTTCTTCCTCTGCTTCTCCATTGGTAAAAAGAAAGACAAAAAGGAACACAAAGTAACTGGTCTTGATTTACGAAACTGAAATCGTTTCATCTCGAAGAGGTGACCAGCTCACTCGTGTATTATGCAAAGAACCATACCAAGAACATTAAGAAAAAAAATAACAATACAGACGAGAAAAAGTAGAATGAAGAGGTTGAGAAAGATACCAGGAAACAGAAAGAGCCGCCATGGAGAAGGTGGCGTACGGGCCTGTTCACGGAAGAAGAGAGCCTACGCAGCGCCATTGTCAGTGCCACGTTCTCTCTATCCGCTCACAGGGATTTTAGCATTTGAGTTAGTTAGTCGGGTTTTTCTTTTTTTTTTCCTTCCTTTTTTTCCCTCCGATTATTATCTTCTTTCCAACACTGGTAGCTTAAAGATGCGGTAACATATTTTAAGCATATAGTTAAATTATAAATTTGGTAGTTTGGAAATAATTTCAATTTCATAGTTTCATTATTCTTTGTGGTTTGGCTTAATTTCGATTTAGTCTCCGTAATTTGAGTTTAATTTTAATTTAATCCTATGATTTAAAAATTTCAATTGACTTTTATAGTTTAGTTAAATTTCACAAAACATTTATCATTTACCATATTGATATATTTTTGAAAAATAGAAAAAAAATAAAGTGGATTTTTTTTTCTCTATACATATGAATGTATATGCGCAATAAAAAGGATCCACAAAAATCACATCCATATTTGAACGGTTCCAAACCACAAATAGTTTTCTTCTCGAATCTCAACCCAATTTTTTAAAGTCAACCTAGGCCACAAATTTTCTTGCAGTTTATCCCTATAAGTTTAGCTGTTTAGATATCATAAATGTTCTTGAAAAACATGATAATAAAAAATTGTAATACTAATATAATATAGATGCCCATCCAAAATTTAAAAGTGTCCTGTATATCTTAATTTTTTATTTTGACAATTTCATATATAAGAATGTTGTAAATTTATTTAGGAATTATAAGCTTCTCCTCCAGGTAAAAGAGATTTGAATTTCGTCAAAAAAAAGGGGAAAAAAAAAAGTAAGAGATTTGAATCCTGGCATCCTGCTCCTTACTGATAATAATTAGACAATCTGAAATTAAATTGGTTTTTTGGGGAATATAGTTGAAATTTGAAAACAAGTCTAGCAAATAGGCATGGTTGTACATGTAAAACAACTGTATATGGGCCTTTCTCATCCCGAGGCCCAAAATCTATCGGCCCACGAAGGTCACAATCCAATAGCCAGGAAACCCAAAAATGAAAACCGCTAGAAGGAGGGTTCGAACCTCCGACATTGTGGTTAACAGCCACACGCTCTAACCAACTGAGCTACTCCAGCTTGTTGGAAGATATTAAAAGAAAAATTTAATAAAACTATCTAGATAGCTGCTACATGTTTAGATATTGGTCCATAGTAAACCTGGAATAAAAAATTCAATAATAAATTATATAACGGATATTATTGTTTTAATAACAATGATTAGTAATCAAATGAAGTTTAACAAAAGTTAAAAATCGAAAATAATCAAGGTTAGAAGAACTTAGAGCAACATGAAAAATAAATCAAAGTTAAAACTTTATTTATTCAAATTTATTGATCAACTTACCTGAACCTACACTTTTTTTTTTTTTGTAGTATAAGAATTTAAGCACAAATCAAAGAAAAAATAGGTTAATAAAGACTCAAGATACTGCAATAGTTAAACATTAAAATTAGATAAAATTTTCAATTAAAACATATGATTAATCATTAGTTAAAAAAAAGGCAAATATGATAGATAAATAACAAATATCAATAATATAAATGAGAAGACAATGACATGTTATTGCTTAGAAATACGACAACCACCAAATCCCACAGAATTGTGTTGGCTGCGGTCGGCAAAGGCGCGGTTGTTGCCGGAATCGAATGGTTCTGTTATAGAAGAACCACTCTCTTAGTCTGTCTGTCTCTCTCTCTTCCTCATTATTTCTCCGCCCGATCTCTATAAATAATTACCCCAACTTATTGAATTTGAAATAATGAAAAGAAAAAATGCAACAAAATACATGGTCCGAATAAATATAATTTAGATCAAGAAATTATACGATAAATAATGCTTTAAAATAAATGTAATTAATTTAATTTTGGGAATCTTTTAAACTCAAATTACATATGAAGCTGTCGAGTACTCACCAACCTCATCTGCTATATAATATATTATTGATATAATTAGTATTATTCTACCAAATAAAGCCAGCTATTCAAATCAATTAAACAAATATGCCATTTCTTTTGTACATTACTTTATACAAGGAATAAAATTTTTATATTATGAACTAAATTATGGCAAACTTTTGTGTTTTTTTATTCTAACTTTTGATGCGTCGTATCTATAATTAATTTTTTAATGTGATGTGCGTCAATTGATATAGATAGTATATATTTTTTGAAATAAGTGATAATTCTTTCTTATCAACCAACTAGAAATATTATCTCGTAATGTTTGTATGATTCTTTTTCTCTTTTTTTTTATTGCTTTGAATATGTTTCACTGAGTTTTTATTAATTTGACCACTGTTAAATCATATTTATTTCTCATTCTTAAAAAAAAAAAGAAGAAGAAGAAAATAATGCAAATTTTACACTTAAAAAATAGGTTTAAATCATATTTTGATATTCTACTTCATATTTATATTATTTTTTTTCTCAAATTTTTTGTTGTAATCTATAGAAACAGTATACATTTTTAAAATTCTTCTGTTAGTTATTGTTGCTATATTTTCACAAATAATTTATTAAAAGTTTTGCTATATTTTCACAAATAATTTATTAAAAGTTTGACATGATATGTCTTTGTATGTTTAACTACCCTGATAAATATTAGACTAATTGATTTTAAAAATTCTTTGCAAGTCAACCTAATCATTGAAAATTATGTGGGGATTGAACTCACAACCTCTTAGTTCGGGATATATGTCAATTACTGCTAAGCTATATTCGTTTTAACGTCTATTATTTCATCTTTTAAAGGTACGTCTCCATCTTTGAAAATATGGAATACCCCCATTTTTCAAATTTTCTTTCAATTTTTTTAGAGATTGGCTTCCAACACAGCTCGAATTTTAATACTATAACTTCTCTTGTGGAACATTTGATTAAGAAACCATCCCAGAGGTCTCTAGAAAGCAAAATGCCGAAGACATCAAAATCAATCCTTCATCTTGGTCTTTTAAATCAAATTTCTTTTGTAATTACGATATTTTCATCATTTCTCTTAATTTGAGTGATTTCTTTAAGTCTCTTCTCTTTCTACGTTTCTCACGTATCATTTAATTGAAATGGTGGCTCCTTAAAAGAAAAAAAGATTTATTTGTCGGATAAAAAAACTATCAAACTTGATCCTAGAAAGTTTACATGTGGAAGGAAATTGAACTGCTAACTATTCAGGTTGGGATTTAATTTGTTAAGTAACATTTGAGTGTGGCATGTCAGGTACAAAATTTAACAACTTTTCTAATCAAAGAATCTAGATTGAGAATTTGTAAGTGATTAAATTCACATATTAATGGAGTGGGTATTTGAACACACAAATTTTTGGTCCCCAATTAATTAATATATTTATCCTAGTTACTAATGGTAAGGATATGTGAAAGAATCTTTATGTTGAAAGGAAAGTTTGAGACTTAAAATTAGTTTTAAAAATAAAAATGAATAAAGGTGAAGAGTAAATAGGATTTAAGAAGTAATGAAAAGTAATAATTTGAAGGGGGAGGATAAAGCATTTAAAAAATCAACATGCAATAATTAGGTTAGGCCCATAAAGTAGGTGAAACGAAACAGAATAGGCTGACTGAGGCATATACCGCCCAACCGGAGATCTCACTTTTTCCCTTTCCCAATATCCTTTTTCCTTTCGACGACGCCAAAACCAACTCATGAAAATCTGATCTAATTTCGAAATATGGAGAGAGATCATCTGGGCCGCCGCCGACTGCCGTACCTCTCCGGCTGCGTTGCCGGTGCTTCCCCGGCCTGCTTTCCGACCCACGACGGCGCCGGCCTCGAGTACTCGCGCGTCCACAGCGGCGGAAAACGAAGCGGGTGGAGGTGGCGATATCTTCTGAGGAAGTGGGTGAAGGACAGCATGTGCACATACGGGTCCAAATCTCTGTCTTTCCAATACGACGCCGTCAGCTATTCCCAGAATTTCGACGAGGGCAATCCAGAAAATGAGATGCGGGTTTCCAGATGAACGTGTGTGGGTCAGCACACTTCACGGTAGATCGTAGGTTTCTGGGCTTAATTGAATTATAATGTGTTATTTTTCAAGAATTAGCTTCTTCTTTTTTCTCTCTCTCTCTCTCTTTTGGGGGTTTAATTTTGGATATTTCGAGATTTATGAATAAAACGATGCAGTTTTGTGATTATTGTGGAGATTGGAGAATAGGTAGATCTATGAAGAAGATGAACATTCTTATGTGTACAGTTTTTGTTTTCCAGAAGCCAGGCGGCGGGCATTGATTGGCTGCTTTTTTCTTTTTCTTTTCTTATGTGTATTAATTACGATGGAAATGGCGGGCCCCAAGTATATGTATTGGTGGGGTGAAATTTAACAGTGTATTTGAAAAGAAATTAGAAAATGTGTAATACCAAATATTTTCTTTTTTTGTATAATAAAAGTCGCTTCTCTAGGGAGGATCGAATTTCCAACTTCAAAATAAAAAGTACCTGTCGATTATTGTGTTGAGCTTTTGCAATTAAAGTTACTTTCAACTATAGAAAAAAAAAAGAAGAAAAAATTTCTTGACAATCGAGCAAAGCATCACCTATTAACTTAACCTTTCATACTTCTCGATCTACATTTAAAAATGTAAAAATTTTTCTTACGAAAATATAGAAAATTGTTTAAAATAAATATGTAATAATGGTTTAAGTATTTGTTTATATTTTTTAATTAATTTATAAGTGTATATTTTTAAATTAAATTAAGATGATTCAAAAGTTAATTATTAATAAAATATTATATATATATATAGAGGACTTATATAACTCAATTGGTTATGACATATTTTTTATGGCAAGAAATTCGAATCTCCATCTCTAAATATTGTTGAATTAAAAAATAGTTAAAATTTAAAATATTATTGATTCATGAGGTTATAAAAAATTTATTATGCTTTTTTACAGTCTGGATCGCTTTATTTATATGTTAATATCTAAAAAAAGATATATTAAAATATTGTTGAATTAAAAAATAATTAAAATTAAAAATCTTATTCATTCATGGAGCAATAAAAAATTTATTATGTTTTTTCAGAGTCTGAAATCGCTTCATTTATATGTTAATTTCTAAAAAAGATATATTAAAATTAAGTACTAATTCCTTACCTAAATATAAATCAAATAATTAAACTTACGACACGAAATTATAGAGTCAAAAAATAGTGGCCCATTAATTAATGATATTTTAGACAGTTAACGCCCGTACCACTCTAACATGGTTGTATGTAGAAGAATGTCATTGTCTGAATTTTCAACTTTTTCCTTTTTTTTCCTTTTCAATTTTTTTGTAATTAATCAAATAAATAAAACTATTTAACAAGTATTCTTCCAGTATCACTTTCTTTTTGTAAATATTTTAAAATTTTAATCATCCCACGCATAAATAGCAATTATCATGAGAATTGTTAAATTTGCATAAATCTAAAAAAATATAATTTGGAAAACTGAGATAGAATTACACATTAATATAGTGCTAAAATACACATATTTCGATGCTTARGTTAGACTGAATTTATATGAAGCGTAGTAAGAAGTAGGATTTCGTAGAGCACTCGAACTACTATGCGACAKACCATTTTAATCCATAGCTCCGACACCCTATACTAATCGACCTAGGTCTGAGGCCTCGTCCTTAGCCTTATTGTGCCGATACTCTTCTTCGAATTAGTTGTTCCTATTGTTGGATCTCTGGTCATAGTTTATTCGTTGCTGGTTCTAACAAGTTGGTATTTATATAATCCAATTCTAAACATCAAGATTCATAGGTCTCACCCGAGTGAACTTTATATTTATCCAGGTACCTTAATTCGTTCCAAATTTAGAATTTTACTCACTCCACAATAATCCGTCTTGTTTATCTCACCCCTGACACCTTTTATTATTTCAACAATAATAATTGGGTATTATTTATYAATTTCAACAAATTATTAGGATAAAAATGATTTTTTTTTACGTCTTTCCCCTTTTTCAGGTGAGGAAATGAATTTTTTTTCTTCGTACAACAAAAAGAGGGAGAATGATTCAAACTCACGGTCTCTTGATAAGAGACAGGTACCAATTACTACTAGGTTATCTCCAATAAATTGAATAACATGAATTCTAATATTGAAAAAAAAAACAAAAATAAGAATCTAATTTCGATTGAGATAATTTTAATTAAGTGAACTAGCAYAGAGTGTTTTTTTTTATTCTCATTAATTTTATTTTGATTTTTTGTTATTCCTGATCATCTATSAATATTTGTACCACAAATGATCACAAAGGCATTCATACCACTTAATATATTTAATTAAATTTAATAAAAATATAGGTACGAATATCAAATACATTTATAAAATTCCATACATGATTATGCACCTAAAATATAGTTTTGATCACTAAAATTTTGTTCATGGTTTTTTTATAGCTCCTAAATTTTTATATTAGTCAACCTAAAAATAAAAAAAAATGAAATAAAATTATATCCTGTAAGCATAAGGAAACCATTCATATTTTCTTATTGAAAAAAAGGCTCACAGAAGAAATGCGTTGCAATATAGCATTTTTATTGTTTCTTTTCTTTTCTGCTTTATTAATACCGTAAAAAAAATAATAAAATAAATAACAAAACAAAAAACCGTAGAATTAAAATAGAGAGGAAAAAATACTGTCATTACGTATGACGACTAATAATTTGACAGCTCTTCATTTAAAGAAAAAATATATATATATATATATATATTAATCATCTGACCATAGTTAGCAAAAGATGGATGCTGATGCTGACCACTTGAAAAGAATAGCAAATTATCTTTTCATTATCAATTTGCTCTCCCACTAGATAAGGAATATTGTTATTCCTGCTGTCAGCCACTAAAAATTTGACTTGTAATTTTAGTAAGYACCTAAATATTATTCTTAACCAATCMCATCATCACCAGGTTAGAGAGAGAGAAACAACGRCATTAAAACTAAATACTTTACAAATTAACAATTACAAAAATAAAATTGGAATTAGGTCCAAAGTTACGTGAAAGAACAATGACGTCATAATTACATTAGTGATTTAATTAAACAAGATGAGAGTAGCAAAGCTAGGTCTTTACTTTGCTTGGGCTTCTTGTTTTGACTCGACTCAGAGAGATCAGATTTATGATTTATCCACATCAGAAAATTGCCAACCCAACCACACAAACTCTCTCCTATTCTTTCTATATGTCAAACTCCAAATTCTTGCATTCTTTTTTTCTGAAACCTTACAAACATCAATATTTTTGCGTATATTCCTGTGGGAAGGGAACTTGTTTTGATCCTTAGATTATATAATTCTGTATGTACCTTCTTAATAATCGGTCTTTGTGGGGCTGCCTTCAGTTTAGTTAATTAAGTTCTGTTGCTCTGGCCGGCTGAGCTCGAGATGGATCGGCACACGCAGGGCGTTGCTGCTGGCTGGGACAGYGGCCACGCCGGTGCCGCTGATGATCCCATATGGAATCAAGGCGTTTTCACAGGCTACGGTCATCTGATCTCTCGAGTCATGYCCATAAATCTAAGTCAAAAGATTTGGTCGTTAATCTTATTGTCAAGGATCTTACACTAAAGATAAAAGACTTAACAATAATTTATAAATTATAATATAAGTTGGCAATTCTTATAGCTAATGAGATACTCATTAACAATTCATACTTTTATATATATATATCAGATGAAATTGAAAGGAAAAAAGAAAAAGGAAAAGGTGAGAGAGACCTTTCTATGCAATTCCATGTTCTCCTGACAAAAAAAGTTGACTTTCTTACTTAGCTCTATATTTTCTTGGTGCATCAGAATTCCCTGAAAATGTAAATTAAATACAAAGAATGCACCCAAAGTTTTAATTTGTTATTCTCTCAAACCGATCAAATTTAAGGGATAATATATACCTTTCTGTTCAATTCTTTTATTTCATCATTTAATATTTGTTCCTGCATGCAACATAGTTTTGAGATAAGTGTCTGTTAATATTATTAAACCAGGAGAAGATAGTAAATGGACTAAATTAGAAATGATTTATGGGATGGTAAAATGCGAGTTTAGTTAATTAAAACATAGATTATATAGTCAATAATATTATTAGAAATTTCAAAAGTAATTAGAAACTGTTGTAGAATATTTTTAGATGATCAAAACACTTACTAGTGCTTTTCTAAGAATGGCTTATTTTGAAAAGTGCCTTTAAGATTTTCTCTCTATTTTAGTTTAATTTAATGGAGTGCTATACTTCAATAAAAAGTGGATGGATCACTTCGTTTTTATCTCATTGAATTCCTGTTAATATACTTAATTAAAAGGCCTATAGGTTTGAATTGTGTGACCTAGAAATTAAAAATGTGAAAACAACATTTACATGGTGTGTTAAGTATAATTTTCATATTCCAAATTCTCTACCATACATGCCAAAGTAGTGAAAAAACAGAATACAATTGCACCCATAATATTAAAAAGAAAAAAAGAAAAATTAAGTGAGAGCAAAGTGTGTATAGATGCAGTATATGCATATAGATTATAGTCTATGATAAACTATTACCTTTTTTTTTCAATTACTCAAGCAAAATTTAATGAAAGGATGGAAAAGGATATATAAATATCTGACCTTTTTTATTCGGATGCTTTGTAAACTAAACTCCAGTTGATTCTCAAGGCTATTTAGGTCTTTGACTGATAAACCATAGAGTTGCTCTCCCATTAATTTCCTGCATATACATAAGGAAAAAAAGGTTTTTAATTAAAGTGATATATGAAAGTTTTGAAGATTTTTAATCATTTGATACACTAATTAAGTAAAAATAACAATCTATATATTATTGCTAACAAGAAGAATTTTAGATCGGGGTTACCGATTATTCTCTTCCAAGTTGAGTAGTTGCTGCCTTAGAATTGCTACTTCCTTCTGCCATAACTGTAAACAAATAAAATAGTTATCAAATAAAATGCAAGAAATTAATAGAGTCCTGCAAAATTCGAACGCAAAGATATTATTATGGTTTAAATCAGGTTATAAATAAAGACATAACTTTTACATAATATATATTTATCCATCAAAAAAGACTTAAACAAGTGTTGGGAAAACAGGCGTAATTTCCACTATAAACACTACTAGTCCATTACAAACTTACCTGAAAAAGAAACACAAAGCCAAACATAGAACATTGTAGAACTTAACATAATACTAAAGATATACAAAAATTAGAGCTTTAAAAATGGTTTTGTTTTGTCATGGTGGATAATGTTATACATACCTTGAGATCTGAAGCTGGATTCAACAGCAGTTCATCTTCCTCCTTTCTTCTATTATATTTCTCAATTATTGACTCTATGCTGTGCCCAAAACAAATCACACACCCTCAACATTCAAACCCAAAAATAGAAAAGCACCAATTTTTCTTTCCCAGCTTTGATAAAGATCTATGAATGATATTAAGAAATGAAGGGAAAATGAATGAAACCTGGTGCTTGCGAACTCATAGTGCTTCCCAGAGCTGGAAAAAATGATGAGTCCAATTTCTGCATCGCAGAGAATTGCGAGCTCTTTAGCCTTTTTAAGCAACCCTTTTCTTCTCTTGGAGAAAGTCACTTGCCTGCTGGCAGAATTATCGATCCTTCTTATCACAATCTTCCCCCGACCCATCTAATTAATTAGGGTTTACCACAAATAATCTTAATAATAATCACAACCAAGAAGTACCAATTAGGCTAGCTAATAACTAGGTGAAGGGATATATAAGAGATTAAAAAGCTTACTTTTTTTGAAGCACCAATTATTCAATCGCTCTCTCTTCTGGCCTCCTCTTGCTGGCCTGCTGGTTTCTATTGTTCTTCCTTCCCCATCAACAGATTTTATGCACCAAATAAAATTTAGTGCTTTGGGCTAAAAAGAGCAAGAGGGGATTCAGTTTGCGATATGGGGGATTAAATTATATTAAACTACTGTACGATTCGTTTGTACTTTCTATTAGTCAAAAATACGCATTACTGTTGCCATTCCAATATATTTTATGTGAGGAATTTCTTAGATTACGTAAATACGAGATTATATCCTTTAAAAAAACTTACAATATTATTTATGAATGCTACTTAATTATATACCAAGATTGAAATTTTGGAGTGGAGTAGAGTTAATTGGTGTAGAATAATTTTAAAAAATTCAGCTTAAAGTTATAAATCTAGTGCAAATATTATTTGGACTATTACCTTGTGCAGAAATTGTATATTTTCGTGCCATTTGATTTGCTTTTTTTGCCATTAACAAAAGATTAGTGGCATAGAGCTGTTTGAATGGTTAATTAACCAATTCCACGAGAGACGAAGAACCCTAAACAAATACATAAATAATAAATTCAAGGTCGCCTTTTTTCCATAGCTTATAATATCCCCCACTTGTCTGAGGAAAAACTTGGGTTGCAGATTGGTCAGTAAAACAAAGGTTATTGGAGGGTGGCCTGGAGTGTCAGACACGACCCCTTCCATGAGTTGGTTTTTGGAACTTGGAAAAAATTACCAAAAAATGGTCTGGTTTTTGAAACTTTAAAGTTTCCAAATAAGGAAAGTTTAATTAAGACACTATCGAAGAATTTGATAATATTTAAGTCTTCACTCCACAGTAGAATTTGGAACTTGGGAATATTACCACAAACTGAACCCTTTTTTGAAACTTGCAAGTTTCTGTTTCAGGAAAATCAAGTAAAATGATATCCAATCCCTCAAATTCTAAAAACCCATTCTTTTCTTCTAAGTTACACCAGAAGAAAATCATATATGATTAATAGAAATGCACGTTATCCTCGTTTATATATCGATACTCACCACTTATTTGTCTTAATTGAGTATAAAGTTTGAGMAGCTACACCATTYAGTAAAGTTAAAATACTCTAATTAAGAACATTTGAGCAAATATGGGTTCATGAAGTTGGAAGTTGTGTAATTTGTGTTTGTAAAAAGTTAYAGAGAAACAAGCTTTATTGTATTATTTACAAATTAGAAAAGTGTTTACTATATTTGCAAGCCGCCATTAAATATAATCTGCTTTTTACCCCTAAAGGCACTTGGATTTAGTGTTTGGAGGCGTGGTTAATGCACCAATATATAATGATGGAGGATTCTGGTGGTGTGTCTTGAATCTCGAATTCCCATTGGGTGAGAGCACGTGAAGCTGATTTTGGTGCACCAATAAGATTCGATCTGTGGCTGAAAGTTGAAAGTTCCAATGGAGGCCCCTGGATTTAGGAGACCCAATTTCAAATCCTTGATTAAATTAGTGTCAATTTGATGCTCAAATTAACGAGCTTAGACAGGTGTCAATGATCAACAAATCATATAAACATCGTAACCCAAGAAAAAGGGAAATTTGTGGATTTTTGTATCTTTATCACTACTACTATATTTCTTTCGGTTTATCATCCCAACAATTGGGCAAATTGTGCATGCTTAAATGACTCTCAATTTCTTTTCCTTTTTCTCTTATTTTGTGATCTGCACATGAGATGGACCCTTGATGATAACCCTCATAAGTTTAGCCATCCAAGGAGTAGATATTAATTACTTTTCTTATKCTCTTTTGGATGGGGAAGGGTAGATCTTGGAATGTCCTTTTTCATGCTCAAACCCCACATGCTCTCCTTCTATACTTTCACACAAACATACAAGGATAACATTAAATCCTACCAATTAAAATCATGAATACATATCAACGGGTCAATTCTTAAAGGGCTAAGTATTTCGAAAGATTGATGTCCAGAGAAAGGTCCAATCCAAGGATTAAGACCACAACAATAAGCCTACTTGACTCTGCTATAGCTCGATAAGGACAACCCATGGGCTTGCTCTCATATCTTGGTCCATCACAAAGATTATCTCTAGGCTCAACAAATTTCCCTACAGGATGACAAATCCAACTATAAATTCGAAATTTAAGRAATTTAAAAAGAGAAAATATACTAGTGACTTTAGTTTTCTTCTCAATGAATAGAGAAAAAACTCAYGGTTAAGGCCAGTAGCTATAAAATTCTATTTCTTGCCATGTTTTTCACACATAAACTCAACTCTGACTGACTTAAGTATAAGTGTGTGTAATCTTTCTATTTTATATGTCTAGATGAATCTCTTTATTCTAAATRGAACGATGCAAATTTGATAACTTCAGAAAATTTACATATCCACYGTATATTCAAGATCTACATTGGAAGAATAGTCAAGTTAAACTTCTCTTTTCAAATAGTTTTTGACTCATATGCTCGAAGTTAGTGGATAKTCACCAGTTAAATTCGACCTATGAAGTTTGATATYATTGCACTAATATTAATATTTAATGTTAGAGAAACTATATATAATAAGAAAATGAGAAGTTTTATATTGTGAAGGAAATACATAACCAAGTTATTTATTTCACTATAAAAATAAACAACACAATATTTGTGCTACTCATTTGAATAAAAAGGGGTCAAAGTAGTATGACTAGCCTAGATGATCGAGTTAAAGCAGAATGGTATTCATTATTCAATAACCAAAATAAAATATTTATTTACCAACATAAGCATAGTTAAATAGTTATCATATATTTATTATAAAAAAAAAAGATTACTTATTGGAATAAGTACACCTATAGGTCACTCTTTAAAGAATATAATTTAAATCTAATAATTTACATATTATTCTTTAAATCTAATAATTTACATATTTGTCAAAATAGAGGTTCGAACCCATGTAAAAATTATCAAGCTACCCATATCTATATATTTTTAATAAATAAATAAACAAATTACAAATAAGAAAAAAATCAAAATTTAGGTGACCTCCCATATAGGATAACACTCAGTAGCGGCGCGATCTCTTTGCAGAGTCGTGGAGGACTCGAATAGACCCCCATGCACGTCTCACGACAACCGATCAACAATGAGATCTGGAGGTGGGTTCGTCGTCTGTTGCTTGCCGAAGAGGGAGGTCATCGTGGCAGCCAAAAACAGGGGGTGTTATTATCATATTGTAGATTAGATAGAAAAAATAGATCAAAAAAGAATAATGAGATAAAGAAATAATAAAAATATGGAAAGAATATTAAATTAAACAACATTATTTTGAATATTTTGCCTTAATTAAAATATATATATATATATATAGAAAGTATCAATAAAATAAACCTAATAAATGTGGAGGGTTGAAATAAAATAAAATAATATAGTTAAAAGAAATCTACTGAAAATTATGGACATTTGTGAAACAACCTTTAAAGAGAATTTTCGTTATTTATTTCATAATTTGGACTTACAATGCTTTAATGGGCCAGGGTTCTGAGCCCCAATTAGATAGCCAGAAAAGGGCTCACTTATCTTTTTAGTTTGCATATATAGCTTGCATTAGCCCCAACTATGGTATTAGTTGTATGATACATGTGTTGTAACTTTGTAACATGTTTGAGCTCAAAAAAAAAAAAAAAATTGTTGTAATTGGCCATTAATATCTTCCTTTCTTTGCTCCATCTTTGATATCAGTTAAATCATGTTTAAATAAATTGACCGTTAATGTAAAATATAATCCAGCTATATTCAATTTTGCTCTTCTTGAAATTTAAACTATGTTTAAGTTGATCGTCGTTTATATAGGATATAACTCAATACATAAATCACACCATTTTATTATACAATTTCAAATGTTAAAATATACAAAAATACATACATAATACATATACAAATTTTTTATACATTAAAAATGGAGAAGGTTGGAAAATATATTTTGAAACYATTATGTTCSTATTTTAATTTCTACGTTAACAACCATGCCATTAACATTAATTATTAATAAAAACTTATACATTTTGTTTGTTATTTCAAAATTGGTTAAATTTTAAAACAAAACATAAAATCGTTACTTTTAAAATTTTGAGCAAATCGTTATAGATCTTAATCAAACAGATTAACATGTTTACATGTTTACCTATCAAAGTTCTTTGAAAGTATATAAATTAAAGTAAAAAACTATATGTATATTTCTTTCCATGATCTATCCTCTGGAAAGTTGTCCATTAGCGTAAAACAAACCTTTCTTTTTTTTCTTTTTTTTCTTTTTTTTGTGTCAAAAAGCTCTCTTTTCATATATTATTCTTCATAAGTTGAAAAGTTGTTTAGTCGGGGAACGTAATCGACTTGGTTTTACATACAGAATGAGAATATTCACAGAAGTTCACCTAATTCAATTACCAAATTAAATACTTTAAAAGTTTAATTATATGTTTCTCTCCAACATGCATGCCACCTTAGCACCTGCCTCCCTAAATTTAAGTCAAATATTGGTACAACGCCACTAACGACTTTGAAAAATTATTTAAAAAATATTTATTATTTTTCCTAGTTATTTAGTTTCCCTCCCTAATTTAGACTTCTTTATATATATATATATATAAAAGACACTACAATGCCATTTTTTGTTCGTTCCTTATTTGTTATATTTCCTTAAATTGAATAAAACTTTCACTTCGGAATATAAATATATCATGCCGTGTATTATGTTAAAAAGAAATACCCAATATCTAACTAATGCATTTCAATCCTTTGGTTTTTTTTTTCCATTTCACATTCTAGTTTTTTATATTATTACTTATACTATAGATCAATAATCCACATATTCGCTCCAAAAGTTGTAAATGGAGGTAGAAAAGTACGAAAAATAGAGGGAAAAAATTTCGAAAAATTCGAAAAGCATTAATTAGCATGAAAAYTTGATTTGTTTAATAATGGAGAAAATTATATGTATAGTAACTAAATATAATCGGATTAAAAAAAATTTTATGTATAATAAATGTCACAATTAATTACAAAAACTTTCACTTAAACATGGAAATCTAATTCTAAGAATATTAAAAAATATATATGTATTTGAAATACCCAAAACAACCTACCAAACACAATATAGGAATACCATAATCCAYGTATTTGGTCTTATAAAAACCTAGGTGGTCTGCAATTAGTTTGAGACGACGCTCTTTTGCGAGTCCTTTCTCCAAGCGCGATCGCCTTTCTGGGTAACCTCATTATTATTTCGCTCATTCTTTTTTAATAGTTTGAAGAGAATTATTTTTCGTATTATTTATAGATATTGTTTGTTAATTAATTATTGGAGGTGTTCTTGAACGAACTGCTCCAACAGAGAACAACTTGTGATGAAAATGGAGAAGAAAACGGCCGGAAGAAGGATTTTGATGCTTCGGCTGGCGGCCCATTTCTTATTCTTCAGTTTCACTTTCAGTCTCGCCGCCGCTGCAGCAGCAGAAAAAGAAGCAGAAGATTTTTCTTCTCCTCGGTTAGATTCTTCTTCTCTCTCATGCATCAATAATATTATTCTCTCGGCTAATATCCCGGGATAATAAAATAAAATCTCAACCAATTTTCCAGAATTCAATATTATTATTATTATTATTATTATTATTTGGTTGAATGAATTGCAGAAGAATGCTAGGGAAAAAATCAATGTCGTCACCCGAAGTAACGTTGCAGCAGACTCGTGGACAGGTAACAAACTACTAACAAACTTTCTCTTTTCTTATATATGCAATAAATTGATTAGAGGAGACTCTAAGGATACACAAACATAAAACATATTCAATATTGGATATGCATTTAATGGTTATTAAAAGCCATATAGGTTTTTAATTTACACAATAATATGTTCAATTTATAGTGGTTTTTTTTTTAAAAAAAAAGTTTATTGAAATAACAGAAACTAGAAATAAGATACTGATATGCTATTATTAATTCTCCCATATCAACTCATAAATACTGGCCACTTGTTGACTACCATTTAATTTTAAAATTAAGTAAAAAAAAATCTCATTTTCAGCGTTTCTATCCTCTAGAAAACTAACATAGTTTACTAACTATTATTTTTATTAAGCTAATTTATTTAGTTTTTAAAATTTTGATTAGGATTTCTGAAAAAAACTGAATTAAAAAAAATCTCTGCCGTACACACTTTAATGATTTCACTAAAGAAGCTAAATTACTTTTTTTTTTTTTTGGAAATAACTCTTAAATTAATTAACCCACATGGTTTTGATTTTTTTAAAATTAAAGAAACAAGATGGGGTTGAGTTGAATTTTGCTAATCATTTTTTCTTTCTTTTTCAGGTGATACTAAATAACGGCATAGTTCAAGTCATTTTGTCGAGTCCACAAGGGGATGTCGTTGGCATAAAATACAATGGTATCGACAATTTACTTGAAATTCACAATGCAGTTTATAACCGAGGGTAAATTTATTCTTCTCCTATCTACTTATTCTTTTAAATTTTTTAATTTGTGTCTAATAGATTTTTTAACTTTAAAAAAATATTTAATTGGATCTTAAAATTTAAATTTTATATCTAATAAGTTAAATGGATTTTTAAAAATCTCCATTATGTAAATAAGCTATTGAATGTACAAAAAAAGTTGAATAACCTAAAAGTTAAAATCTATGAAATATATTGTGTAGGTATTGGGACGTAGTTTGGAACAGGCCAAATGAAGACACTTCCATTGATAGGTATCCACTGAATTCAATAGTTTTCTTCTTCTTTTTTTCCACTGAATTATATTAAATAATTAATTTCTAATAGAATTAATATTAGATGTGTTAATTTTGATGAATTTATTTATGCAATAACAGATTAAGAGCTACAAATTTCAAGGTGATTACGGCCAGCAGTGACCAAGTAGAGGTTTCATTCACCAAAACTTGGAATCCTTCAGCCCCCGACTCTTCCTCAGTCCCCTTGAACATCGACAAGAGGTACATCCAAATTCTCCTTAAAATTTTGATTTTTCTGTTTTTTTAAATGTTCTTATAATATAATTTGATTGAAATTTCAAAAATATTATTCSAAAATTGAGGTATATTCTGCGGCGCGGCGTCTCCGGATTGTATGYATATGGCATATTTGAACGCCTGAATGGGTGGCCTCAGATTGATATCGATCAGATCAGAATCGTCTACAAACTTCAGAGGGACAAGTTGGTCTTTCCACCCACCTCCTTTTTTTCTTATTATTAAATAAATATATAAAATGGGAGTCCATYCTCAAATTTYTTTTTGATTTAATGAACGGTTAGATTCGATTACATGGCGATATCGGACAATAGGCAGAGAATCATGCCAAAGCCCGAGGACCGCGCAACCGGCCGGCCTCTGGCTTATCCCGAGGCGGTTCTCTTAACCCATCCCACCAATAAACACCTCAAAGGAGAGGTCGGTAGAAAATTTCAAATTAAAAAAGAAAATACAAAAAATATTTTTTTAATAGGGTTTTGGTTGTGTGTGGTGCAGGTGGACGATAAGTACCAGTACTCGATTGAGAATCAGGAGAACAAGGTCCATGGATGGGTGTCGGGGGACCCACCCACGGGGTTTTGGATGATCACGCCCAGTGATGAGTTCCGCACGGCGGGGCCCACCAAGCAAGGTCTCACTTCCCACGTCGGCCCCACCACCCTCTCCGTAAGTCACTGTCACACTTAACATTAATTATTTTAATCCGAATTACTTGATTGATAATTTTATTTATTAAAAAAAAAGATGTTCGTGAGTACGCATTACACGGGTAAGGAAGCGGGGATGAAATTTGAGGAGGGAGAGGCATGGAAGAAGGTTTTCGGACCGGTTTTGGTTTATTTGAACTCGGTTCCGACCGTCACTGGAACTCCAGGTTCACTCTGGGAAGATGCTAAAAGACAGGTATTATATTATATTTATATTTATATATTTCCCTTTATTAAAAAGGAGCATTGAGATATTTATTGTTGTTTATTAATGAAAAGATAATTTGAAAATCAGATGGGGGTGGAAGTGAGTAGCTGGCCATACGGGTTTGTAGGATCCGGAGATTATCCAACGGCCGACCAACGAGGAAGCGTGACCGGTCAATTACTAGTCCGAGATCGGTTTGTACCTCACTTCCATGCACCATGTCTTGTCTTTCTGGACTCAAAATTATGAATTAGAGAGCGTGAAAGTGACGTCGTTTTCTGGCAGATACGCGAGAATAAGAGATACGTGGGCCGAGT